GGACGCACTGTCCGACATTGCACCGCGTGCGGGAGACGAAGTTGGTCTCTGCCCGTGTTCGCTGTCAGAACCAGCGGGACTTGGAGACTTCAGTGTCGTTGAAACAGGGCTCAATGATCACAGAAGTCGTTTTGTTCCAACGAACCAAGTTGCAGTGTTTAGCGGACACGCGAGCCCTGTTGAGGCAATAATCGATTGGAATTGTAAATGTTCTCAAACTTAATGGGGGAGAGTGTAACGGGGGTACACGTATCCTGGTAACAGGGGTGTGTGTCACACGAGATGGGCATGGTGTGGCTGCACTCAAATAAGGATACGGTATGTGGCTAGGTAGCCAGTAGTTATGCATGTATTATATATTTAGGAAAATCTATACATTTAAAAATAGGCGGCTTTGCCGCAGATAAATATAAATAAAGTCAGTTTTGGATTTTAAACGGAAGAGTTAATTAGCCTTGGGTTGAGGCAATGATTACTCTTGGAGTAAGCGGATTGCGACCCGCGAAACCCGTACTTGTTCTAAGTATAGAACGGAAGGTCGGTGATCTAAGTTACGCTTCTTCAAAGCGAAAAGCTACGGCAGCCCCGCTGCATGTTGAATACGAGCTTACGATCACCACCGAAAAGACACAGCAGGTGTGGTATCACCGCCATTATGTCCGCTCGTGTTCACCACTACTTTCTGACTGCGACACCGTCCACAGCAAGACCGATCGATCGAAAACGGGCAAGATCCGACTGGGCGCGCGACCGCCATTTTTTTAATCCAAAAAAATATTATTGCTATCCTCACATTACAATGGCGTTGCGATGCTCACCATACCTGTCAGTGATGGTAGGATGCCACAAATCGACAGCGAAAACGAAGTGTGGAGAGTTCTGTCGCGGTAATCGTCCAGAGCGATTTTCCTTTGATCGGGAGAAATATACAATGCTACAGACATTTGAGCCATTACATCGCTGTAAGTCGGGATATAAAAGTTGGGGGGAGACACGGAAGAGCGTAGCAGTCATTCGCGATTGCTAAAGATGTGCTGATGACGATGCTTGTCGACGATTGGTTACTGGCTAATCGGGTCAAAAGTGATACGCTCTGGTTTTCATAGTTGCAATTATCCACACAAGATAGAACACGATACTGCGCTTATGGTTCGTTGCCAAAGGTTGGCCGATGATGTGTCATTCCCAATGCAGTGTGAGTGAAAGGTCGAGACTGAAGAGCCTTTATTTCAACGAGGGTCGCTGGTCGCTTGTCGTGTGTTATTGCCAAAAGCGAGGTTCCAGACGACCGAACTGTGCTTTGAGCCCCAGACAAGGTTTGGTAGGTCTTGATCGTGAGACAGTTGTGTGTACAGGATCACTCGATTGAGTAACCTTCGCTGAGTTTTAAAAGAGCATTGTTTGGAAAGCGCAATTCCAGACGCGGATTGCTACATTAAGTGCGTGTGGGTCGATCAATTGGCGAGGACTACTCGCTTAGCTTTATAGATTCTCGATGTCAGTTCCGCCGCTCGATTCATGACACAGAAACGGCTGATTTCCACATTGCCGGTGAGAACCAGCTTTATGGCATCATGGAGAGCCTTGGATGGGATGTGTGGTAAATATTAGCGATGGAAGCAATGTACTTGATTGTCGAGCACGAGAACCTCCGTCATTGATAGCGTCTGAATGAATTTATTTACTTGAGTGTCATGATCGCCGGAATTGAAAAGTTGAACCTCGCGTCGGACGCGATACAGTATCGCTGCAAACGTTAGGTCAGTGGTCAACGCTAGCAAGCGAGTTGGGCGTCGTGTCACCGTCCAAGTGCATTCTTGTCGCTGGCGGTACATATAAAGCTCGAGATTGGTTTTCCTTCCGGATCGTGCAGCCGAGCGGCCCGACCGAAGCATGAACAGCAGCAGTAGGGGCGGGCAGCCCTCGTTCTAGCCGCGTGACGATTTGACCGCGTCAAAAAGATAGCTGTTCACTATGGGACAAATTTCTGAGGCTTTGTACTCGAAGCGCACCTTGTACCAACGTGCTGCGTCACTTCTTTCACAACACGTTGTCTTACACCTCCTTGAAGTCGATCTTTGACGCCTAAGCGGCGGTCTAGGAGCGATCACAAGTCTTACAGGTCGTGCAGCGTCAGCAGCGAACGATAAATGGGGCGCTCCTTGACGATCTGGTCTGGTCCGAGTGAATCAGTCCGAGCATCAACTTACGCAAGCGCTTCGTGAACGTGCACATTTCGACGTCGAGGGCGATGGGGCAGATAGCTGGTACTTGCCCAAATCGTACTGTCATGGCCCATTGAACAGCAAGCAGGCGAAAATTCACCACTGGTTTATCTGGACTAAATTACTCGAGGAATGCCATTTCGTGGAACCGGCGATGAGATCCGGGTCGATCTGGTTTGCATTCGTGGATATCTTGTCTTTTTCGACGCCTTGAATGGGTTCATGTTGTTGATCGCCAGAAAAGATTTTGTCTTCCAGGAGATTTCGTTCAGCGTATGTGCTTGTCGTTCGTGTCCGAGACTCAACCTCAGTCGGCTGATCGTTGTGCATTCAGCTGCGAAGTCGGACGGTCGATGTGGGCGTTGTGACTGAAGACGTATATTCGAACTATTTATGACAGTACTGAGCGTACATATGCAGGGTGGCCATGTCACTATTCGGGATGTGGGAAGCGCAGATCGGCGCGCGGCTAGACGAGTTGGGCGGAGGGTATGAAAATAGAACCTGGGAGCTTCCATCTCGATCAGATCACGTCGGAAGCTGAGTTCGACCTGTATTACTCATAGTCGTCGCGAGTAGCCGTTAATTTTACTGCAACTCCCTTGATCGGGCAAACCTGACAGCCTGGTATTTTATACGGGACCACCGGAGCGCGCGGATAGCTTTAAGCCCTGCGTCACCTATGCTGTGCGCCTGAATAGGGTGTTAGCAAATTCCACGATTCATTAGTAGACGTCTGTATCTACTTGCCACGCGCTGGTCACGGTTGGCTGCTTGCAGCATCACTTCTAGGACGAAAAATCAGAACTACGCGATCGTTTGACCGAGGTGTGAGAGTACCGCTGATAAAGCGAGATCGAAACGATTATGTAGTCAAGGCGATTGACACCAGGCTTACTCGCTGGTCTGAGTTGGTGAATACGGTGACTTTGGAGTCTGACATTTATTGATCAGTAAGTGATAGCCTTGCCTGTCAACTGCTCTAGAGGTAGAGTTAAGGGCGAGGACCATCATGTAGTTAAGATCACCGCAGACATTATGGGTTGCAAACACACTGAATACGCGCGAGAGTGCTGTTTACTACATTTGAGTGCTGCGTACATGTTCAAATTGCGTACTTTAGTCGAGCTCTTAGTGCGGGTGAATGACATGGTTGCGGTTCACCACAATGAGCTCGGTCATATGAGTCGCTGTGTCAACGCCGTAAAGGTAAATCAATCTGAACGATATAAAAGGCAGCCTTGTGGCGAAAGCTGCTTTACTTCCCTACCACTCTAAGAGCTAGAGTAGATCTTTAAGCCATCCAGCATCAGACAACAAAATTATGATTCGGCTATTCTGTACGCCATCACTGTTAAAGTTGTACGGTAGAAGGACAACAAATCTTTAGCAGGAACGTTATTCGTCCGACCATGGGCGGGTTTTGCAAATGAAGCCTCGGCGTAGCATCAGGTTTGCTATTAGAATCACGGTTATCCAAATGAAAAGAAGAGGGTCATAAAGCACGCTGTAACTTCTGCTCTTTCGTTTACGGCTGGTGGTAACGCAGGAAAATTTACATACATCGGCCGTTACTTTTGGAGACGATAAACTTATTCGTTTCAAATCCGTGAATTTCTCATTCCGGCACCATGAGCGCGTCGCACGACACTGCTGATGTTTCAAAGCAGTTGTTGGATGTCAGCTTTCAGCTGTAATCCGCTTTCTCCGGGCGAAAAAAGCTGAGATGACCATGGACTCGGACGTGCCTCAAGCGGAGCAACACAATGTCGCGCATGCAGCCTCAAACTTAAGGACGGCGCGCTTTAAAGTGGATAGATTTAGAGCAACAGATTCTACGGAAGTTTGCAATTTTAATCAGGCATATTGAGTGCATTCGAAGCTCTTGCTTGCCCGTCAAGGAAAACGATTTTGGTAGAGGTTTATTTCCTTAATAACCGCAGTCGTGTCTGACCCTCTTCCAGAGGCGGTAATGTTTATCATATTCATGATGGATCTTGGAACGGGAGCGATTAGTCCAAAACCATTCGCGTTCATCATACCGCGTTTCAAGAAGCGACGGCTGTTGCATTCAAAGCAGATAGCAACTTTGTGCTGAGATAACCAAATGAGGAGAGATGAGTCTCAACTATGATAAGGAGTAATATTTAATCTTTTTAGCTGCTAAACGACTTTGGAACCCGCATACGTTTTATCTGGTGTAATACGGGATTTTTTCGTTTCGCACGCCCTATTCACTTTCGGCTGGGAGGGATAAAGGGTCAGGCTTCCACGTAAGTGCAGACACGAAGCTGCGATAGCTTCCGTTTTGGACACGAGACTGCCGAGATCTATTGCAATGATTTTAAACGGAACCTTGAGTAGAGGTGGCAGACAGAAATGTCGACCTCGGAAGGAGACGGTCAGTCATCGCGATCTTCAGAGAGTGTCATTATTGAGCTAAAAAGAACGACAGTTGGTAAATATATAAAACTAGTACAATATAACTGGAGATACTGGGTTACTGAATCTAGAGTTCGCTCTGATAAGACAGCTGCAAGCTGTCATCTTCTGTGTCATGACCGATAGCGATTGGAAGCGACTGTGTGTTGCCGTCTCCAGTGTGGGTGCTGTTGGAGCTGAACAGCGAATGTGGGTCGCGAGTAGAGCGGTACTGGACCCTGAATTCAGAAGGATGAGTCATTCCTGTCACGATGTAACGGTACTACTTATTCACCGCTACTGTGACGAACCTATCACGAGAGTAGTGAGAAATTAAGGGTGAATGGCGAAAAAATATTCCACTCGTAAATGGAGTCGCGGGTGGTCTTAGGGGCTATAAGTCTATAAAAGCTACCCCCGTTATTTCTTCCGACAAAACTGTTTTGTGAAGCTGAAAAAAATGATCTTTTCGGAATTTGTACATGTAGTCGCACGGCGGCAAGATCACCAAAGGGGTATGGTTGGTGCCATAGGAGGGCCTTAGCTCGTCACTTTTCATGAGAATATCTGTGCAGTGAGTGCAAAAGCGGGACAGTTATCCAGAAACGCTATGAAATATTTCTCATACTTTCACGATGTGATGGTGAGAGACTCACGCATGTTAACCCGGAAAGGGGAGTGCTTAATAAGATAGAATCCGTTCTAAAAACCATATATTGTGTCGTTTAGAAACGGCTTTTACTCAGGAGAAAGTATAATATCATTGGCGCTTTGTTCCGTGCGACGCACAATAGGGTTGTAAAAGAGAGTAAACCTCCCACTGGACGCCGACTTTATGTGTCGAAAAGGCAAACGGCAACTTGGTAGTTGTGTGTGCACATAATACGCTAATGTAGTAAACTTGGCTCGCGCCGACACCGACGTCAAATAGAATGCGCTGCAGAACAGAAAGGTCAAATGTACTTTTAAGTGCCCGCAACCATGTTTATGGATACTATCAACTGCTGATGATACACAGTGATATCCATTTACTGCGATAGGTATCTAAACAGGATTCTCTGGGAGTGGCTGGTTACGCCACGTGTCTAGTGTACCAGTGATGTTCATTCGTCTTCTGATGACGCAGTAGTTAAAACCACATCATGGCTACGCACAACCTTATGTCGACGATACCTTTTAACATGGATGTACAGAGCGCAAGTAGTCGGATGTAGAGGCTCACATGAGCCACTTGCGAACAGGGCTCAAATGTATGCGCTAAAATAACCTTTTTTTCCAACACAGACTAGTGTGTATCTGGAACCGGCAAAAACATTTTCCGATTGCGTCATCGGGAACAGAGCCTGCGGACAAATCACGCGACGATGAAAAGTCACTGCAAATTGTCCAGTGCTTCTGTACTTAAAAGCTTGTGGAAGCTGTCTGAACTGTTCAACAACTTTCACAATGCAGTGCAAACTAGTCCGATATGGCTTCTCATCAATTTTATTCGAAGAGATGTCGAAGGATATCGAGGCATCACTGAAAAGAAAGCCTTCTGTGTGCTTAAATTTTGGCTCTCTTGAATCCAGATCACCGTCGAAGTCGTCTGTGACGCTACAGCCTTTGACTGCGTTTTGCGATGAGCAGATACCAAAGAACAAATACGCATGATCGCATTTGAGTCTCGCCATCTGATTGCTGCAGAATAGATTAAATACAAAAAGCTACTTTCAATGAAGTAAACCATCATCTCGTTCATGATGCACCTCCGTGGCTTCAAGCCGTTTGTGATCGATACAGATCGTAAGTCGTCGTGCAAAGCGACGTCGTCACTACATACGTAATGGAAAATGGGAGAACGGCTATCCTAATATTTTTGATGCGCTATTACAGCACTCTACCTGTATGTTGCCGCATGTCACAATGATGACGTCACCAATTGATAAGGCGATACCTTCGGCGTACGAGTCAGGCACATAATATGTCGCGCTATAAAGATGGGAAACGAGGGGAGGGTTAGGAACTAAATTTTTGCTTTATTAAAGCACTGATTGCAAGCCTGCAGCGTTATACCTGTTCCCAAGGCTTCCTGTATTCCAGCATTCTTCCAATGTCAATCTGCGTATAACGTACAGTGGTACCACAAAATTAGGGTCTCAAGTACAGAGCATAGTAATCCACTGGGTATCCACCTCGAATTTCTCTTGATATACTACCCTAGAATAAGCAATTATGTACGCACGCGTGGAACGTGACAGCGGGTTAAACCTTGCCGCACGCTGTCGACACACATAACCAGCCTGTCTGTCCGGCAGAGTGCTGGTAGATATCACTGCGGGCGATATTTTTGGTTTTCTACAAGACGCGTCCAGTAATTCTGTTATTGTGGTTTTTGTAAAGAGTCTGAGCAAGCTGGCCCATCTTACCACTATAGCCAATAATGTGACCGATAATGATACAGCCAAGCTGCATCTAGACAAAGTGTTTCGCCAACATAGCTCGCCGGTGGTCATCGTACGAAGTTGAGGTCCACGCTTTACAGCAATGATTTGGCAAGCTCTTTATAAGATGTTCAGGACCAGATTAGATATGTCAATTGCTGAACATTCGCAAACAGATGTTAGAGAGAGTGCGTGTATTGTGTTATGTAGAATACCCTTGTATGGATTGCGAAGAGTTTGGTGTGCTGAAAAAAATCGCTTCCACTCATTGAGCTTGCGCTAATACAACAATATTTCTACAGGCTTTGCCTCATTTCCAAATGAGGCAAAGTAAAAATAATGGTTGGGGAAACCTCGGGTACTTAAGACACAACAACAAAGTATCTTTGGTCGTAGTGGGAAGGGGCTGTTGACCACATTTGGCTTGCTGATTTTTTCCGGCTATACTTCGCAACAAAAATCTCAATGAGATTGCGGTCCATGCGCACGGTCCGCGACATGATAATCGAGCAAAACAAACAATATCATGTCGATATCAGAGGCACACAAATATGCTGCGAACAAGACACCTTTATTAATGCAAATAACCCACAGTGTATGCTTTCCATAAGCCTAAGTTGCGACCGAGCTACATCGCACCGTTCACGGTCGTGGCGATGAAGAGGTTGTAATACTCTAGACAACCCGAAAGAACTTCTAATAGAGAAGCCATACCACATCTTGGTTTTACGAGCCAATTAATATCAAACGTTTTATGTAGTTCAAACAACGTCTTGAACATCATCTGTTGCTGATCCTAACTGCTGCGTTTAAGCAGTGAAGCGTTAGTGAACCGCTAGTGGTCCCAGACCCTAGATGCAGCTGTGCTGCCGTAACTTAGCGCTTGAGGGAGCGTAATTTAGGTCGCCGAGCTTTCGTTCTTTACAAGAACCAATACGAGTGTAGCGGATCGCAATCCGCTACCTTTAAGAGTAGTAAGTACCTTGAATTAGGCTAATAAACTCTTTGGTTTAAATTCAAAAATGATTTTTATTTATTTTTTTTCTGCGGCCAAACCGCCCGATTTTAGATGTATACATTTTACTAAATATATATAGTAAAATCTTG